TACAAATAGATCTGCTGCATACCCATATCAAACAAGAAACTGAAGTCCTGTAAACCCACGAACTACCAACGTACAAATGTATCGTGCTGCTTACCCACCATCAAACAAGAAATGAAATCCTGTAAACCCAGAATACAAGTACAAATGATCTGCTGCATACCCATATCAAACAAGAAATGAAGTCCTGTAAACCCAGAATACAAGTACAAATGATCTGCTGCATACCATATCAAACAAGAAATGAAGTCCTGTAAACCCAGAATACAAGTACGAATGATCTGCTGCTTACCCACATCAAACAAGAAATGAAATCCTGTAAACCCAGAATACAGGTACAAATGATCTGCTGCATACCATATCAAACAAGAAATGAAGTCCTGTAAACCCAGAATACAAGTACGAATGATCTGCTGCTTACCCACATCAAACAAGAAATGAAATCCTGTAAACCCAGAATACAGGTACAAATGATCTGCTGCATTCCACAGTAAACTACAAACCAACTGATATATACTCAAATACAGTACTGAGCAAGGAAGATGTATCATCCTCTTATTGGTGAAGGAGTATAGTCTATTATTGATTGCATCATATACTAGTGCAGTTCATTATTTATAGTGCCCAATATAAATTAACTGCTATATGACTACACTAAACTAGAAATCAGATGCTGTGTTCCCACACTAAACTAGAAATCAATGCTGTATTCCCACACTAAACTGGAAATGAATTCCCAACTACTTTATGCCCACATTAACACTAAAAATTAATTAAAGTACATTCACACTGAACTAGAAATCAGATGCTGTATTCCTACACTAAACTATAATACAGATGTTGTTTGCCCAGATTAAATTAGACACAAACTACTGTATGCCCACAATGCACTGTGAACAACTGCTATACTCACACTAAAATACAAATGAACAGCTGCATACACATATTAAATTACAATGAACTAATTTATGCCAACATTAAAGAAAAAATGAACTTCTGCATAACTCATATTAAACTAAAAATGAACTGCTGAATGCCCATGCTAAAACTAAAAAGTTAACTGCTGTATGCTCATGCAAAAAATGTACTGTACTGATATATACTTAAATTAGACTAGAAATGAACTGCTATCAATACATACTAAACTAGAAATGAACTGTTGTATGCCCACACTAAACTAGAAATGAACTACTTCATGCCCACACTAAAGTTAACATTTCCTTACCTGAAAATGTCTTTCAAATAGGTACTCACCTCTGCATAGAATAAATAGCTAATACCTTGCACCACTGGTAAAAAAAATTGTGTGCATGTACCAAGCCTTTGAATAAATCTTCCACCCTAAACATAATACCATGTGCTACATTAGTCAATGATGCAATCAGCATTACACTATTAGCAGGGCAACACATTCTTCATGTGCAGTACTCCCTATGAGCATTTTGTGTATACCCAAAGAGGCACTCTGAAAGTGTGGAAGAAGGATGGATAATTCTGTGGACAGGCGAGTATCTATTTGAAATGTATTTTCAGGTAAGGAAATCATCAATTTTAGAAATGCTACCAACCTCTCCACAGAACAAATGCCCAGTCTCAGATTGAAAAGATGGTAGAGGGATCAAAATGATGAGCTTCCTTCTGAGAATATAAAGACAGAAAAGTAAAAACTCATGGAGTATGTCACACACACACTATGGCAGAAAAAATGGAGGCCTATTGCATGGGAGACTTTACCCATCTCAATAAGGGAATAATCTTCACCCAATACAAGTGGTAATGCAGAAAGATAATGTTAAAAGGACCTCATGCATGGTGGTGTTAAAGTTGAAAAGTGTGTAGAAGGTAAAGTCTGGTCAATCAGCCTTTATATTTCATGGGGTTGGCACAAATGTGTAACATGGTTAGGGCAATAAATCAAGCCATACAGTACACAAGAAATACTTTGCATGATATATTTATTGGTACAAGCAGGTACAGAGGCAAATAATTCCAGACCTGCATCTCAAGGAGAATGCAAGATCCATCTGGTTGGTCACAACTACCAAGAATGATCTGGTTCTTAATGCAGGGGTAGCTTGTAATACACTCCCAGATAGACACCCTTGCCATACTTCTGATTAAGAGGTGCATCCACTTAGTCTTAAACCACTGAGATTACACTGACTCAAATCAACTTCTACAGGAGGTTAAACTAGAGAAGAAAGGGTTCTCCCACTCCACTATAAGAAAATGGAGGGGGGGGGGGATGTGCAAAGGGTAGAACACCCTAAAGGTGCAAAGACTGACAAGAATAATCTGACACCTGCATAAGATACCATACTGAAAGAACTTGCAATGGCTTACCATGAATATGGACAGCAAGAGATGGTCAGGTGTAAGAACAGGGAACCATACCAAGTGTTGTGTTTTTTGTTTCTTTTTTGCATGGAAGTAGCATTACAGCTGCTGAAGCAGTCTTGTGAAAAGCACCATTTCCACATTCAAGGTGTGAACCTTGAAAGACAAAAAGAGTATACCTATATTGTACAATGATGTAAAATTATGGTTACACTGCTCACAGTCAGAGACAGCTCCTATAAAGAATAGTCTGGACCTTGGGAGGTTTCACAAACATGGGTACAAGAATTTGTATTCAATTAGATACATAAAATTGAATTCATGGAAAGTATTGATATTATTAGTTTTCCCTTGTTATTATTTTTCAATAGATCAGATATGTCCATGTTACTTAGGGCCTTGGTAATTTTTGTATTGACTAAATTGAAATTAATTATTGACTTCCGCTGAAACCTGAACACTGAGTTAATGATATTCCTGTCATATTCTCTAGAACATACATCCCAAAATCTTGTAATTTGATTAAAAGTAGAAATCACAGTAACATACAAAAATATAATAATTTGTACCAGAAGCTTCAGCTGAAATCATTTTAAAAATCTATATCTTTCTTCTTTGAAATCAAGAAAATAATGATGAGAAAAACAACAAAATACACACTATTATGTGTACAAATGGAAGTTTTGTTGAAAAGCTTAGTATATGTGCAAAAAATTTTAGGCAGTGGTGCAAGGTATTAGCTGTTTGTTCTGTAAAGAGGTGAATAGCATTTCTGAACTAGAAGTGAACTATTGTATTTTTACACATACAAATGTACTGCTGCATACATACATTAACTAGAATGGCCTACTGTACGGGACTGGCATGGCCAGGTGGTTAGGGTGCTCGACTCGCAATCTGAAGGTCGAGGGTTAGAATCTCAGTAACTCCAAAAATGTTTG